CGGCGTCGCTGGACCTGGCCATTCAACTGGCGGAGGACCAGATGGTGGCGTGCCAAGGGGGCGGAACCCTGCCCTCTGTCTCTCTCTCTCTCCCCCTCTCTATTACCTCTAAACCTGTCCCTCTCCCTAGGTCCCGGGGGAATCTCCCACCGCGAGCGCAGCCCCGGGGGAGGGGCGGTCCGGCGCCGGGGTCCGCAGGACTAAGGCCCCTCTCCAGGGGGGCGGGGCCGGCCAGCTCGAGCGCCTCGGGGGTTAACATTCCTCTGCTCTCTCCAGGCCAATTGCTTGATCCGCTTCCTCCCACCAGGGCGGCAGGGAGGTCTGGGCCGGCCTGTTGGCGTTGTGGGGACCCAGGGCACTTTATTGATCGGTGTCCAGTGATGGAGGTGGGGACACTGATCCGGGTCCCGGACGCCCCACAGGCTGCCCCTGGTCCAGCCGGCATGTACCAAATACCTGTGAGTATTAAGGGGGTACCTATTGGGCTCTGGTGGATTCAGGATGCAACCAGATCCATCAAAGCCTAATTCAGCCGGCGGCATTGGATAAGAGCTGCGTGGTTCGGGTGCGGTGCGTACACGGGGATGTGGTGAAGTATCCTATAGTGCTCCTAGCTATCCAGTACCGGGGTGAAAAGCATAACGTGGAGGTCGCGGTTAACCCGCACCTTAGGCATCCGCTAAATCTGGGAACCAATTGGCCAGCTTTTAATCAGTATGATGATTTTCCCCTGGAGCAGTCTTGGGATGAGACGCTGAAAAATGCGTTTGAACAGGTCTGCTCCATCGACGGACAGCCCCTCCAGCCGGCACGGCCCCCTTCTTATCCCTATTTTGCCATTTCAAAAGAGAGGTTGTATCGAATGACCCAAGACGCTCAGACAAAACAGGATACAACCCAGTTGTTAGTTCCTAAAAGCCATCGGGAAATGCTTTTCCAGGCGGCTCATTGTAATCCTATGGCAGGACATTTGGGACAGGCACCAACTTTGAATCTGTTAATGGCCCGATTCTTTTGGCCGGGCATTCACGAGAATGTGTGCAGGTGGTGCGTGGCTTGTCGTGAATGTCAGTTAGTGAATCCCCCGGCCTCCCCAAAAGCACCGTTGCGCCCTCTTCCGCTTATGCAGGTCCCCTTCGAGAGAACTGGTATGGACCTCATTGGGCCATTAGAACGGTCGGCACGGGGCCATCGCTTTGCATTAGACCTTGTGGATTATGCAACGCGATACCCTAAGGCAGTGGCGCTCAGGGTATTCCGAATGGGAATCCCGAAGGAGATTCTCACTGACCAAGGCACGGCGTTTATGTCACGTACAATACGTGAGCTTTACGAGTTATTGGGCATTAAATCGGTCCGCACCAGCATCTATCACCCACAAACAGACGGTCTGGTGGAACGATTTAATCACACGTTGAAGACCATAATTCGGAAGTTCGTTCACGAAGACACCAAAAATTGGGATAAATAGCTGGAACCCCTATTATTCGCTGTGCGCGAGGTCCCGTAAGCCTCCACGGGGTTTTCCCCCTTTGAGCTCCTTTTTGGGCGCCAGCCCCGTGGGGTTTTGGACGTCCTGAGAGGCTTGGGAGGAGGGACCTTCGGATGGCAAAAACGAAATTCAGTATGTGCTGGACCTGAGAACAAAACTCCACACATTGGGGCAGCTCTCTATGGAGAATTTGTTACAGGCCCAGGATAAGCAGAGCCGGCTGTATAATCGGGGAACCAGAGTACGCAATTTTGCTTGTATTACTCCCTACCTCTAGCTCTAAATTACTCGCCAAGTGGCAAGGACCCTTTGAGGTCACACGGCGGTTGGGAGATCTTAATTAAGAGGTAATTCGATCGGACAGGAGTGGTTCACATCAAATTTACCATCTTAACCTCCTTAAAAAGTGGAGCGAGGTGGAACCGGTGATGCTGGCGACGGCAGTGAGTGGAGAGGAAGATCTCGGGCCAGAGGTGACCAATAAGATCCAATCCCTCGCTCTGGCCCCAGGGTGGGGGTTATCTCTCGCCCTCCCAACTCATTGATGTAGCAAGATTGCAAGCCGAGTTTGCAGATATGTTCTCACCCCTGCCCGGTCGAACGAAGCTCATCCAGCACCATATTGAGACGGAGCCAGGCGTGGTGGTACGCAGCCGGCCGTATCGGTTGCCGGAACACAAAAAGAAAGTGGTTCAAGTAGAATTAGAGGCGATGTTAGAGATGGGGGTAGTAGAGGAATCCCACAGCGATTGGGCGAGCCCAATAGTTTTGGTACCTAAAACGGACGGTTCGGTTCTGTGTGGATTATCGCAAGGTGAATGCGGTGTCGAAATTCGACGCCTATCTAATGCCGCGGGTTGACGAGTTGCTGGATCGGCTGGGTGCAGCTCGCTTTTATTTGACACTGGACTTAACCAAGGGATATTGGCAGATCCCCTTATCGCCCTTATCCAAAGAAAAGACAGCCTTCACGACACCGTTTGGATTACACCAATTTGTTACCATTCCTTTCGGGTTGTTCGGGGCTCTGGCCACTTTTCAGCGGCTCATGGACAGAATCCTCCGCCCGCATGCCGCTGCCCATCTAGATGACATCATTATTTACAGTCAGGACTGGCAGCGGCATATGGCGCATCTGCGGGCTGTCCTATGAGCTCTGAGAGGGGCCGGGCTGACGGCCAACCCGAAGAAGTGTGCGGTTGGGCGGGTGGAGGTAAGGTATCTGGGCTTCCACTTGGGTCATGGGCAGGTGCATCCCCAAATTAGTAAGACGGCGGCAATTGCGACCTGTCCGAGGCCCATGACCAAAAAGGAGGTGAGGCAGTTCCTGGGTCTAGCAGGATATTATGGGAGGTTTATCCCCAATTATTCGGACCTTACCAGCCCGCTGACTGACCTCACTAAAAAGGAAGTGCCAGACCTGGTCCAGTGGACGGAGCTGTGTCGGCAGGCTTTCACCCAGGTAAAGGCTGCTCTGTGTGGGGGGCCGCTCTTACACTCTCCTGACTTTTCTCTCCCTTTCTTGTTGCAGACGGACGTGTCGGACAGGGAGCTGGGGGCCGTCCTGGCCCAGGAAATAGAGGGTGAGGAACGGCCAGTGCTGTACATCAGTCGAAAGCTCTCTAAGAGAGAGACGATGTACAGCACCATTGAGAAGGAATGCTTGGCCATCCGATGGGCTGTCCTCACCCTCCACTATTATCTCCTGGGTCGGGAGTTCACCCTCTCTTCGGACCACGCGCCCCTGCAGTGGCTCCACCGCATTAAGGATACCAACGCGCGGGTTCACCCGGGTACACACAGATGGCTGTAGCCGACTTCCTCTCCAGAAATGGAAGGGGAGGGGGTTCCTGGGTCTAGCAGGATATTATGGGAGGTTTATCCCCAATTATTCGGACCTTACCAGCCCGCTGACTGACCTCACTAAAAAGGAAGTGCCAGACCTGGTCCAGTGGACGGAGCTGTGTCGGCAGGCTTTCACCCAGGTAAAGGCTGCTCTGTGTGGGGGGCCGCTCTTACCCTCCTGACTTTTCTCTCCCTTTCTTGTTGCAGACGGACACGTCGGACAGGGGGCTGGGGGCCGTCCTGGCCCAGGAGATAGAGGGTGAGGAACGGCCGGTGCTGTACATCAGTCGAAAGCTCTCTAAGAGAGAGACGATGTACAGCACCATTGAGAAGGAATGCTTGGCCATCCGATGGGCTGTCCTCACCCTCCACTATTATCTCCTGGGTCGGGAGTTCACCCTCTCTTCGGACCACGCGCCCCTGCAGTGGCTCCACCGCATTAAGGATACCAACGCGCGGGTTCACCCGGGTACACACAGATGGCTGTAGCCGACTTCCTCTCCAGAAATGGAAGGGGAGGGGGCTGGAGGCCGGAGGGCTCCCCGGCCTGAGTCGGGCGGTGGGGGTATATGGCGAGGGGGACGTGGTTCAGTGAAGTCTGCAGCGGGAGAGAGTGACGGGAGACGAGCGGTGAGTAAGTAGGTCAAGTGCAAAATGATGAACACCTGTGTCCGATTGCAGTAATTAGCCTGGAGAGACCGGATAAAAGGCAGACTGGACACCGTGGTTGGGAGAGAGAGACTGGGACTCGTGGCCATCCCTTAGCCGGAGGAGGAGAACCGACTGAACTGAGTTTATGCCCTGGGCAGATTGAGAATGCGCGGGAAGCGCCCCGTTTGTGTTTTGTTGAACTTTAAGTAAAGAAATAAAAGGGCCACGAGTCTCCAAACCGCCTACCTGAGTCACTTCTTCACCTTCTTCCCAATACGAACTTTGTTACACATATGTATTTACATAATACTTGAGAAAAAGGCAATAATTAAAGATGTAGAATGAATTACGGAAATGAATTACAGAACACAGGTAATGATTGAAATGTTAACTGTTTAAGCTGGAGATGGCATTGGGGGGGGGGGGGGGGGGGGGGGCTTTTTTTGTCCTTTTTTTTTTTTTTGGTACTGTTTTTATGCCTCTATTTTTTATGTTATAGTGCGCAGCGATCGGAATCTCCAGGAATGTTTTAAATGGTTCACTCTTTTGTTAAGTTCTCTTTGTTACCCACATCCAGTGTGTTTTAATCATGTCTACCTTATAGAGCTTTAAGGTTTTTAATATACAATTAAACAATTTATGTTTTAAGACTTGCCCTGGAAGTTTGCAGAGGCCCTATAATGGGCCCCAGCCCCGTTTTTGGTACATGTATAATGTAATTGCTACCTAAACCTCAGTTAACACCCAGTCTGAATGAACAAGCGCAGGGGGGGAAAACCCAAAACAAACCAACTATACAAAAAGAAAATAAGATCTATAGCACACAGCAAATAGTCTTATAAACAAACTATTAAAGGCCATGGATGAGAACATGGATGAGTTTGTTCTGACCACAGTATCTTGACTTCCTTTTAATTAAGAAACAAAAATGAAAGAAAATTCAGCTTTGCTTCAGTAAACAAGATTGGAGGGAGCGATAGCTGGCTTTTGAGAGTTTATGTGAATTCCAGTTGTGAAAGAGATTAGCATGCTCTTATGTTCTTCCTCTCACTGCTGTCCAACATGTTATTACTAAGCTACCTGTGTTTTAAAAGCCATTATCGTGAGTACTGTATCACAGTAATGAAAGGCTTACCAGGGCATCTCTCCACATATCTGAGGCATGTTACACGCTTTGCTGCATTTGAACCAGACAGATTGTTCACACCTTTTAAAAACATCTACACAGGACCAGCCCACATCGGTTTGTACCAGCACTGTATAATATCTAATGGCATCAAGCTATGGATTACCAGATACCAGAGGCTAGTACATCAACGAGATCAAAGCAAATGAGATTTCATCTGGATGCACAGGAATCCAAACCTTCATTCACCCTTTAGTGTTTTTTATGCTTTTGATAGCAATGCAGTCTTTACAAAAAAATGCTGCATACACTACAAAAATTCTGTCATCAGTTTTTTGTTGCTACAATGTAAAGTTAATGGTCATTAAAACCTTTTGGTTACTCATACTTTTCAAAACATGGTTTGGAACACATGAGAGGGAGTAAATGATGACAGATTTTGCATTTCTAGGTCAGGGGTTCTTACGACTTTCATTAGCATAGTGATTTTTTGCGCTTTCATTTTTAATATAATTTTTTAAAATATTTATCTGATCAATATGTTCAAAATGAGCAACCTTTCAAGTCATTTCTCTGCATCCATTTCCTTTAGTACTTAATCTACGAACAGCACAAGTGTCTCGCTGCCTCCATCTAGTGATTTAGTGTAAAAAGACATCAAGTGGAGAGAAAATGGCTGACACCAGCAAGTTGATGACACAAAAAAGAAAATCCACAGTAGATGTCTGAGCCAGTAAAGAGTTTTATTTGTTTATATTAAATCAAAGGAAAGCACTATAACATACTTCACAAACCAAACGCCTTGTGTAGTACAGAGGTTTTCAATCTGGGTTCTGGAAACTCACAGCACTGCGTATTTTTGTATATCTAGATTTCTTCTGATGATGCGAATCAGAGGTGTTAAATAAGAAAGATACACAAAATTTGCGCTGATGTGGGTGCCTAGGTTTAGGATTAAAAACCTCTGATTTAGTAAATCTGTAATACCAGATAAAGAACGATTTTAATATGGCATATTACAAAAAAAAAAAAAAGGAAGTAACACTAGTGGACAAGAAAATATTTTTTAAATAATATAACTGTACATTTTTTTTAAAAAGTTGACAAAAAAGACAACAAAAAGAATTCCTTCTATAAACAGAAGAAACATAACTAATATCTTATTATGAAGACTATATTAAAAAAGCCAATAAACACCTTTTTTTGTCATTTGAGCACAGGGCCTGGAAATGGAAAATAAAAAAAATGAAAGTATCACAGTACACTCAAGAGGGACAGCAAGTGGTCAAGAGAAAGAATAAGGCAGGAGAAGATTAAAAACTCCTCCCAGAGAGAGAGAGAGAGAGAGAGAGAGAGAGAGAGAGAGAGAGAGAGAGAGAGAGAGAGAGAGTGATGGGAACAGACTATCATGTTGTCTGAGGCAGAAACCAACCATCAGACCCAACGAAACCACTGAAGGCCGTTTCATCTTTTAAAATGTGATGCCACTGTTAATATTCATGAAAAAACTTCAGAGTTAACTGAGAAGATGACAGAATGAGAGACGATAAAAATAATGGTAGTTATGTTAAAGAGAGAGACTTTTTTTTTTTTTGGCAGAGGCCGTTTCATCTTTTAAAATGTGATGCCACTGTTAATATTCATGAAAAAACTTCAGAGTTAACTGAGAAGATGACAGAATGAGAGACGATAAAAAAAATGGTAGTTATGTTAAAGAGAGAGACTTTTTTTTTTTAGCAGAAACAGGATGCAGCAAAACATGCTCAACAGCCCAACACTTCTGCCTGCTTCACTCTTAAACATCATGTTCTTTTATAACAGATGCTAACACACCTAAAGAACAATGTTACAAAATAAAGAAACTGCAGCTGCAGGGGTGAAAGCCTAATCTTGTTTTGCCTTTTGTACATGGGGGACCAGATTTATCAAAGCTTAAATATAGAAGTTTATAAAGGTGCGGTCACGTTTACATTGTTTGTAATGGTAGTTATGTTAAAGAGAGAGACTTTTTTTTTTTTTAGCAGAAACAGGATGCAGCAAAACATGCTCAACAGCCCAACACTTCTGCCTGCTTCACTCTTAAACATCATGTTCTTTTATAACAGATGCTAACACACCTAAAGAACAACAATGTTACAAAATAAAGAAACTGCAGCTGCAGGGGTGAAAGCCTAATCTTGTTTTGCCTTTTGTACATGGGGGACCAGATTTATCAAAGCTTAAATATAGAAGTTTATAAAGGTGCGGTCACGTTTACATTGTTTGGTTAATTTTCATGGGCTGAATCTAGTCATTTCAATAGGAATCTATGCAATTGGGAATTTTCAGCAAAAATAGATTTCGCAGTTGGTCACAGATTCGCCGCACTGACCAACAGAAAATTGCTTGGTTTGAAAGTGACTTTTGTGCTTCATACATCACTACAGCATTGATAATAGACCTTTTTTACTCCACGAAATGTCGCTAATTTCACCACACCTTACATCTCTGCTTGTGTCAATCATCCTCTGCTCTCGCCTACTTGGACCACAATGAGCAATGCACAACAAAAAGAGGAAGAATTTTAGTAAAAGTGACTTGATTGATTTGACCAACAAGATGGTTTTGAACTCAAAACTCTAAAATGACCTGGATGAATGCAAAAATACATGGCAAAAACAAACAAAAAACAAAATTGTGGACATGGCACACAGATAACATTGTTATTGCTTTCTATTACCAACCTCCGGAAGTGGAATAGAAAGCTACACAGATAACAACACCGAGAAGAGTGCATTTTGGATTTCTGGATCTCGGTTATAACAGCTTCTCTGGGAATCTGGCATCATTTTGCCCGGATCTGGCAGTCAAGAGGCAAGAGATGGGCATAAAACCACTCACGATATGGTGAAAAAAATGCATTCCTGAGCTATATTTAGATATCTTTCTTCATCTCAAAATATTTGGTCATTTGAATATAGTAATTCACAAAATATACTGCATTTATTTCAAAGTCCTCACATGCATAACATGCTTAAAAGACAACGTCTTTGCGTCATCGCAAATAACATCTTCGCCAAAATAAAAACTACTGCTTAAAACCAAAAGATCAATTTTGTTCAGATCAGTGCAAACTTCAACATGAGCAATAACAGTGATACATGTGTTCCACGTCCACAGATCACACCTCTTAAAGACGTTTTAAAATCCCAACGTTTTTTTTTTACCGTAAAAACCCCTCACAAGGATCAGAGCTGCAGAGAGAGGTCCCATGCTGAGCAACGGTGAGAAATACCATCACAACAAACGTTCACGAAAGATGACGTCCACAACAAAAGTTCAAAGGGAGAGAACATGAACAGATTTACAAGTACAAATACAACTGACATATCAGAAGCCGCATTACAAGTCTGTATAAAATCTGAAATAACCACAAAGATATAGTAAATGTACAAATAAAATAGTTCCTTTTTATGGTCTAGATTGTTCCAGCCATCTGAGACAGTCCTGTGCTAAAGATCTGCATAGCCAAAGCTTCTATTCGCCAACTATGGACTGGATCAATATCAGCGATATACAAAGGTTTTTCTTTTAGATTTATACCAAAAATCATAAAAATGTCAGCGCCTACTCACAATTCGTAGTTCTTAAACTATCTTTGTAAACAGTTTGCCCTTTTTCTGTTTCAAAAATACATTCTAGTCAGACAGAAAATTGTGAGGCATATATATGTGGCAAAGCTCTCTTTTATCTTTTTATACAAAAAATATGCAAAATAATGCTCTATACACATCATCTACACTCCTCCTCTTTTTATAGTATGTGACTGCGCAGGAGGAGAGGTGTAATTCATTGAATTCTGTCATTTGAATAAGGGGGACTGGCCACATTCTGAAGGATGGACTGAGTGTGTACGAGTGGCTTTGGCTCACCTACATGCCAGCAAATTGATCGCTGATTGGTTAGAAAACCACAGCATTATCATGCGGTTAGCTTAGCGCATGCTCCAAGCTTCAGGCAGTGACACCAGAGACTGCTGGTTAATTTAGATGTGTCTGCTACTCAGTAGCCCGAACCAGACGGTTCAGCACACCGAACATGTTCTGTCTTGGTACTGAAAAAGAGTTTGGGTTGCGTGGCGAGGGGGAAAGATCAACCCATCCTGCTGGTGTCTCGTATCACAGCATTTGGTGCATCAATATGGGCTGGTATTAGGCCGGCTGTCGACTCCTTCTGTTCCATAACACGTCATATTGTCATCTTCTCACCGTCTCCGCATTCAGGACCGTCCCATCCTTTCGCTGCTATCGAAATGTCACTGAAAGCTGCTGTGACCTTCTAATAACATCCAAAAGCAATATGTAAAACAAGCACATTCATTTTGTTTTGGTTGCATGGCTTTGAAATAGACCAGCAATGCAACAGCAAGATCCAGTCATCGGTTTGGCATTGCTATGGCTCCTGTGTTCTGATTGTCACTCGGCACAAGGAGTAGATACACGGCAGGTTAATTTTTGTTTGTTTCACTGTCTTTACAAATCAAAGCACGTGTGAAGCGTCCAGATTGGCTTCACACATCTGCTGAGCGATGAACGATGTGTTGGGAGGCAGATGGAGCATGCTGAGCAATGGCGGCCACTGAGAGACGGCATCTGGGTGACTCATGCGAGCGTGATGATTCACTTTATGTCAACATGTAGTGTTTTTAGGCATGCGCTTTGCATTTAGGAAAATGTAAAGATCTTTTTATGTTTATAGAAGTCTGAGTGCTATAGGTTCTGTGCTTTAGTCGTCATGTTCATGGACTTGTATGTATGCATGTATGTATACATGCATGATGTGGCTCTTTAAAGTCTGTCGCTGCGAAAGCTGTCCTCTACTGAGGGGTCAGGGAGGACCATATCGGGGTCACTGAGCATGCTCAGTCCATCCAAACTGAGCGGCTCGATACGTAGTTCATCCTCCAGTGGAAAAACTCCTTCTGAGTCCAAACACTCTGGCACTGCGGACAACACACTGCTGATGTCCTTAGACAGGCTGGGATTGGAGTCATCTGAGAGACAGAACGAAAAACAACAGAATTGTGAGTGAGTCCAGGAAATGTGAAAGCAGAGATGTGCAAAATTTAATGGTTTTTTTTTTAAAATCTAAATGACTAGTCAATTAATCAGTCTTAAGGAATCCCTTCATAATCTATCCGGTTATGGTTGATGTGGCCTCAATTGGATGTGTTTCTTCTGGGGAATTTGCATAAGATGTGTCGTTTTGTTCCACAAAATGGCATGCAATGGAATGGAAAACAGTATAGAGGTCTTAACATACTACTTTAAGACTGCAACACTTGTGTTGGGAAGCTCAAAACAAACGAATTGAGATGCCAAAATGTTCATGATCAAAATGGTCATCCGACACTAGAGTAATGGCAGCTGAAATTTCAGCTTTGCCATCACAGGAATTTATTACATGGAAAAATACAAATAATAATAAAAAGAAAAGTTCATTTCAATTTGAAACTTTAGAAGAAAAAAAAAAGACAAACTACACTGGAAGTGACATCAGTAGGATTTCAGTAAAATATTCAGATTTAATTTTTTCATATAAAGTGTTTGTTTGTTTTATTTCTCATATCGTTTTAAATAACCGTGTCATGGATCCTGTGCCTGCTCTTCCATTTGCTCACCACCCAAGATCACCCGCTCATTACTATGGACCCTTGCACCACACTAACTGTTGCACTTCACCCTGGACTACATTTTCCATCGTCCATTGCACTGATTACACCCACAGCTGCAACCAATCAACACACTTTATTAGCCACAAACTTCCTTTTACGCACCGCCGAGTATTGTTTGCGTTTATTGCTCTCCTAGTGGTAGCACTTTACGGAGCCAGTTCCCTGTCCTAGTTTCTAGTTCTAGTCTAAGTCTAGTCACGTCGTATTGCCTTATTGCCTGTTTCCTGAGCTTCTGCCTGTCTTGGTTGTCTCTCTCGTCTTGTCATTTGGACACTGTTTGTACCTCGCCTGGATTGTCATCTGTCTGTTGGATTACCCGTTTGCCTTGCCCTGTTGGATATTGTTCGCCGGAGATTGATCACTTCTGTCCTTGGATTACTCTTTTGTCTTGCCTGTGCCATACCTGTTTGCTGGTGCTTTGACCCTGCCTGTTTCTGACCATGTTTGTGAATAAAGTTTTGCAAATGGATACGCATGCCTCTTGTCTCGTTCACCCCGTTACAAACCGGTATCAATCTCAGACAGGTTTGTTAGAGACTTTGCCAGGTCTTCTTAGGTAAATTATGAACCTACTTGAAGAGGTTGTTGCACATTATTAAGCAAGACAACAGTTCTCATGCAATACGGGGAGGAAGAAAGATATTTCTGAAGATGAAAAGCTTGAGCTTTGTGAGTTAGGGTTGGCTAAAATACAATGCTCAACTGCCAGCCAGCATAGAGACACCAGCAGCTTCAAACACCTGTTTACTGTTCAACAGTGGCTTTTTAAAGTTGCCTTTATACTAAAATGAATTTGTTTGACTGAAACTTTCCTTAATAAACCTTTATCTGATCAAGCTCTTCTGCACTCAAAAATCACTCAAAAATATTTTGACAGTTTAATAATCTCTGATCAGTTTTTGCAAGATAAGTTGTTTTCATGCCTTTCGCAAGATGTTGCACTATTTCATTACTTTTCATCTTCAGAAAGATCTTTCTTCCTGCCCATATTGCATGAGAACTGTGACTTGCTTAATAATGCGGAACAAACTCTTTAAGTAGGTTCACCATTTACCTAAGAAGGCCTGGAAAACTATTTATCAAACCTGTCTGAGACTGATATCAGTTATTTAAAAATATATGAGAAATAAAACAAACACTTTCTATGAATGTTTATTTTACTGAAATCCTCCTTGCATAATAATTTGGAACACACGGTAGTCAGCTGTTGATGACTAGGTGAAGATCAACTAGCATATTTTTGAATGTGACATTCCCTTGTTATTTCAATTTACATTTTATTGGCAGTTACATAAAACGAGTCCATGAATTAAGAATCTGAGTTTGTGCTTTGAAAGCAGGGCATGAGGATGAAACCTGAAGGGTAAATTCTCATAATGACTCACAATGACCTGCTGTCTGATCTTCCGCACCTGTAAGGATGATGTTGGGCATTCCTCCTCCACAATTAGAGTAGAGCATGTTGGGTCTCATCTGAAGGTGGTCTTGCAGGTTGCCATGACTGCCACCTAAGCCCATGAGGGCAGTCTGGGAGCAGTAGAGGTTGGAGGAAGGGTCAAATCCTCCTGCCATAGAGCTCATGACATTCTCCAACATATTATACTGATCCTGCTGTTTAAACACACAAAATATTCGTTACAAAACATGATCAACTTGGGAATCAGAATGTACTTCAAGATGTTCTATATTTACCTGATAGGACGAACACTTGGACTGACGTCCAGAAAACTGCTGCTCCATAAAGGGATCGTTGAAAAATGCTCCCATGCTGTTGTGCTGTGAGCAAAAACAAGATTCAGTGTTTTTCTGTTCAGCCAAGAAAAACCAGCATCTGTAACAGTGTCTTTCCCCTCAGATGCCTGCTTCTACTAATGTTACAAAGGGAACTCACAGCGCTGGAATTAAAGTCGAGTGGGACGTTCTGCAGCGGGGACACAGGCTGGTGCTGTTGTTGCTGCTGTTGGCCACCTGTTGCTCGTTGCTGCACCCCTGGATGCTGGGAGCTCTGCTGCAGGGGCTGCTGGGTTTGCTGGTAAAGGGGGTAGGGAGGGGGCGGCTCCATCGGCAAGTTGCTGGTGTCCAATGCAACCCCCTGAAGAGAACGGGAAAGTTATAAAAATAATTTGACTGGGAGCTTGGCTACGGTACGCTGCAGAGCACCCTGTTCCTGGCAAAAATGAACAATAAACCAGCTGCCACATTTCTAAGAATAGGGCTCCACAAACTATATAAAAGTACACAAATACATTAAAAAAAAAACATGAGTGATGGCATTAAGATTTACAGATGGCACTAGCATCTGGTTTGATATTGTGTTTCATACAAAAAAGATGATGTATGGTTTTTGAAGATGCTACACAGATTATATGGACCACTTTTTTTAGCCGTTTTTAATTTTAATTTTAGCAGCATGACAGACATGGTAACGATGAACAGCAGTTGTTTGGAAAAGAGCTGCTTCAAAATTAATAACCGGGGCTGGTTGTTGATACAGAATTCCCATTTCAATTAGATGGCATTTTGATTACCAAGCTTTTCATTCAATTTGATTTCCATCTTGCTTCCACTGTTCTTGCTGTAAATTATACAGTGAAGCTTCTGATTTGGTACATTACAAAAACTTCTTTTTTTTTTAATTAACAGTGTTAAAAATGTAAAAGATTGGATGACCAATAATTTTCTCCTATTAAATTCGGATAAGATATTACTTATTGGACCAAAAGACAGTACACAGAATCTCTTGGATTACAATTTGCAACTAGACGGATGTACTGTTACTTCCTCTACAGTCAAAAATCTGGGTGTTATATTAGATAGCAACTTGTCTTTTGAAAATCATATTTCCCATGTTACAAAAACAGCATCTTAGAAACATTGCCAAGTTACGAAACATGTTACCTGTTTCTGATGCAGAAAAGCTAGTTCATGCATTCATGACCACTAGACTGGACTACTGTAATGCACTGCTAGCTGGTTGTCCTGCATCTTCAATAAACAAGCTACAGGTAGTCCAAAATGCTGTGGTTAGAGTCCTTACCAGGTCAAGAAAATATGATCATTTTACCCCAATTTTACAGTCTCTGCACTGGCTACCTATTAAGTTCCGTATCAGTTACAAAATATTATTACTTGCCTATAAGGCCATTAATAGGTTAGCTCCTGCATACCTAACTAGTCTTCTACCACGCTACAATACATCACGCTCCCTAAGGTCGCAAAACTCTGGACTTTTGGTAGTACCTAGGATAGCAAAGTCCACTAAAGGAGGTAAAGCTTTTTCGCAAACTTGAAATAATCTTGAATCAGTTAATGCAATTCATCAACATGCAGTTATGACATACAGTCCTGGTCAGAATTATTGGCACCCTTGGTAAATATGATTAAAGAAGGCTGTGAAAATAAATCTGCAGTTAATTATGTCTCTTTGTTTCTCTGTTTTTGCCACAGGATTGACATCCCGTGGTAACACAATATTTACACAAGCTTCAGTCTGGATCCAGAACACCTGAGAAGAGATGATGCCAACCCCTCAGAGGACCTCAGATGATGCCAACCCTGAAACAACTTACAGAACTACCACATTTTGCTATAAGTTTGATTGCATCATATAATAATTGCCGTTAATAGTGTTCATCGTCTGTTTGATTACGTCTTTAATTGATTTTTCCGTACATTTCTGCCATATGTACATTAACTGACAGTCACCACTGATAAGTTACCACTAAATATTGTAAAAACTTAATTTGCTGTAAAGTTGCTTTGCAATGATTTGTATCGTGAAATGCGCTGTACAAATAAACTTGAATTGAACTGAATTAAATTAACTACAGGGTCTAAATTTCAATTGCTCATACACCACCATTCAAAAGTTTAAAATGTTTCAGAATAAGAAATGTTTCTTGCGCACAAAATCAGCATATTAGAATGTTTTACATTAGAATATTAGAATGACTGGAGTAATGGCTGCTGAAAATTCAGCTTAGTCATTACAGGAATAAACTGCATTTTATATACATTAAAAAAAGAGAAAACTTTTCATATAGCATTTCACAATATTTTGTATTATTGTTTTTTTAATGGAATTATAAACATGACAGCAGAGGCGGACAGTAACTAAGTACATTTACTTGAGTATTGTACTTAAGTACACTTTCAGTGAGAATAAAATGTCATTTGAACTATTACCTTAAGGTTTTAACCATTTGGCATTTCCACCATTTGTAGCAGAGAATTTAGTGTTGAATTCAAATGGTTGTGCCACATTTGAACTCAACACAGAAATCTGTTACAAACCATTGCAGGGTCAAAAATGATATGCAGGGCACTATCCAAAGACTCAGAGTAAATAACCCTTTCCTATTCTCTCATGCCATGTATATAATTGGTCTGTGCTGTGTGGTTCAATCACTAGTGATGTATCAACACACATTTGAGTGTTTGCCTTTCAGCATTCACAGCAGAAAATGGTAGTGCATAATTACATTTGTGTTTTTTTTTATTTGCAGTCCTGAAAAGTCTAACAACATTAGACACTAGAGCCCTGTAAGCAGTTTAATACAAGCAGCTAGTTATGTTCTGGATGAGGAAGATACCACCAGAGAACGTGAGATGCTGGATGAGGAGATTTAATGAATACTTTTCTCACCTGTGTGATCGGGGACAGAGAGGGCGACATTGTCGGGGAGAGCTGCTTGCCCAGGCTTCGCCTCTGATCGCCCCCTGGAGAGAGTGTCAGGGGACTAATGGGGGCCGGCCGTCTCCTGGGTGAACTCGCCATGCCCGTTGGAGGAGGGTTGGACAGCGAGGAGAGACGCAGAGATGTGTGGATTGATGGATTGCTGAGAGACGAGTGCAGCTGAGAGTTGGTGAGGGATGCCTGGATGGAAGGGTTGCTTAGAGAGGATGACAGCCCTAAGAGGACAACAAACATGACATAATCAACTCCAGGGGTCAAAAATACTTATTGAACCGCCTTAATGAAACCGAGACAAACCAATAATGGCTTTATGAGTCACTGCGTGCAGGCCGGCTTCTGTCCTGATGTCAACTCCTCAGAAAAGACACTGAGCAATTGTCTGCAGGTTACTGGACCAGCGAGAGCGAGAGAGAAAAGAGCTGTTTATGAGCAGCCAATTCAGGGGTTAAAGGTCGGCTGTGTCTCTGGGGATCGGCCAATCAGCTAGCAGCACAGCTGAAACGGGCAGCAGAAACATCCCAGCACACCCTGTTCCCAGACATGAGAGCGAATGGAAAGAATAAAGCTCAAGAGAATGGAAGTCAAAGAGAGCGATCAGATGGCGGATGGATTTAAAAAGGGGGGAAGAGAGAGGAGGAGAGCTGTGGTCTTCTGCATGGATGTGGCCCTTTAGAAAACACATGGCATTCATTCCCCAGAAAGCGCCTACAGTGTGCCGTTAAACAAAGACCGGAGTGTTCAGCCAGGCTCTTCTGAAGCCAGGAGATGCTTTAACAGCAAACGAGCCTCCTTGAATATCGATTTGGTCCCAAACAAAATCTCTTTTTAGTCTTAGACTGTGCGTGAATGAGATTACGCATGTGTGAAAACCAGTACAAGTATTAATGTGTCTGTTTATGACCCATATAGTAAACCCACTGACCTTGTGAGTTTCCGATGCCCAGATGCATCATGGCTGCGGGGAGGTTGCCGGTGCTGCTGCCTCCGCTCAGGTTGGGATATCCAGCCTCGTCGGGGTCCAGCGGAGTGGGCAGCGGAGAGGGGAAGTGCAGGTTACTGAGGTCAGGAAGAGACCCACCAGTGTTTAGCGTGCCCTGGTAGTGAGACAAACCTGCGTTCTGCTCTGGAGATGGGAATATACTGCAGAGAAACAGAGAGAGACAATGTTAAATGTACAGCAAATATCTAGTAAGCAACCAATAAACATGCACACTCACACACAAATTTCTCTGGACTTACTTGATTCCAGGCACTTCACAGGACTTTGGCCGGGAGGACAGAGACTGCACCTGCAACCAGGCAACATGCGTATTACACATCCACACTCGCAGAGATAGATTTAACAGCCTGCTATCTACAGACAATCAATTAGTACTGTAGCTAGTAAGACAAAATGGCATCATACTTAAATAAAACTTTTTTCTGTAATCAACAGCACAAAAATTCTGTTAAAAGTCACCATGAAATCAAAACTGACAATTCCTATGTGTTTATGGAATGTTGCAGTATCCGCACACAACATTCGTTTTTCAAAGAGAAAGAAAAAAAAAGTACCCTGTTAAAACATTAACATGCCTCTCTCCTTACAATCACATCTCTTCTCTGATAACGTGTATACTGACGCAAGGGCTGAGTAATAACGTATCCAAGCTTCAATCACTCACACAAAATGACTACAGTAATTAACCAACGTCAATGATCCAATCAATTCCTGATGGACAATAAAATTCCAACCTACATATTTGACTTGGTCGAGAAGATTTTGTACTTGAATATATGTTACAATAGGGAAGAAAAATCATCGCAAATTATTTTACATGCTGTAAAATATTTAATATTATTACTTCCTCAACTAGATCAAAGTTACCAACTTGACTAGATCAAAGTTAGGCAATGACTAAATAAATGGCAGGCATAATACTGTATATTGGCTTATGGGACAAATTTAGAAGCACAACGCATTGAACAGACTAATAAATTACAAGCAAAACATTATCAGTGAGATTACTGGGTAAAAAGTGAACAAATAAATGTAACTTCAAATACAATACATAATGCATAACCAAATGATTTAAACTTCATTTCAGTACACAATCATAGTCAAATCTAACATGCTATTGAAAACAGGTCTTTATTTTGTTAGTAACAATTGCAAGTAAGAGGTCTAGTAGGCTGCCTTTATACATTTCTTTGGTCACAACCGAATTGTGTTGTTAACTCAGTACTACAGATACTGCAAAAATACTTTTTAAATTTTGCATTTAACATCCCTAGCCCACATGTACTCACCTTTTTGGCCTCCCATAACTGTTTGGGCAGTGGCTTATTCACTCCAAGCAGATTCTCCTCATTAGGGACAGCAGGAAATGAGAACACTGCAGAGGCAAAATGACAGTCTCTCATTAAATAATTAAAATCCTCCCTGTTAGCATCCTGTCTATTCACATTGCACGGTTAGGGCTGCTCATCTAAGTCACTAATTTCATGTTGTCAACAAACAACTTAAAAACAATAAACTAAAAAAATTAAAAGTAAATACTTCATCTGCATCGCACAACTCACCCAAAAAAAGTGAGATTTATTAAGTTATCTTAAACTATAAGAGAGACATGTAATCTGACTGGGACCGCCAGCAGGGGACACCAACTGTTCCACAACACCAACACCATCCATCAGCCCACTACAGCAAACCACAGCGGAGTACTGTGAGGGCTGATGATGGCATTAAACGGGTGAATCTTTTTTTGGTGAGCTGAATACATGACAGAGAGTCAACAAGCATGACAACACACTTACCGTCTCCAGTACTGTCCACCTCTGCTTCATTCATGCTTGCTGTATGACCACAAACACAGAGAGAAAGAGAAAGGCCAATTAGATCAAAGAAGCAGTTAATCATTTTGCATTCACATGTGTCATTTTTCCACCCATTCATTTGCTGTTTGCTTTTCAGGCCCAGGACAGTGGGGTATTAAAGAAAACATTTTAAAGGTGACATATCATGAAAATCTGACTTTTCCAGGTTTTAAGTGCTATAATCAGGTCCCCGGTGCATCTACCAACCAAGGAAACGTGAAAAAGATTAACCCAGTAACTTTGTTTTGGTAAGCCTTTTTCTGCAAGCGTCTGAGAAAATGAGCGCGTCTGATTTCGCTCCCTTGGTGACGTTGCAAAGGGATCTCATTATAATATTACCACCCCTTAATCTGTAAACTTCCACTCAAGGCACCATAATTTTGATTTCACAAGCGACAACGGTGTATCAGCTCTAATGCCATGGTGAAAGTTTGAGCAAAACATGCTAACTGTTCTGTCTTTGGCTGCACAGACGAGCACAGAACACTATTTACAGTCCCAGCCTCAGAGGAGACAAGAAAGCAGTGGATTTATTGATTTATTTACTGTATATTGCTGCTGCCACACAGATCTAAAATAAACATGCAATTTATTTCCCAGCTGTTTACCTTCACAGACATAACCGACTGTTTTTCTAACTCATGTGTGTTTTTAACAAACTTGTGTGTGAATGAGAACTTAGTTTAGTACTCACATGCGGTGACAGCCGCTTTCTGTCCGTGTGCATCAGATGTGTGCGCTCAGAAAACCATATATCAGAAGTTTAAACTCATATGGTTTAAAAAGCATGATTTCAGCACGATAAACATGATAATCAGAACCGAAACAGATGTTTTTAAGCAGGTACCAGCTGTAATGGCGCAGCTCTATTCTGCAAAAGGGGGCGGGGAGCAGCAGCTCATTTGCATTTAAAGAGACAGGCACGAAAAACAGCGTGTTTCTGCTTCCACTCAAAATAGGCATTTTCAAAATGATATAATAAATGATCTGTGGAGTATTTTGAGCTGAAACCTCACAGACACATTCTGGGGACACCAGAGACTTTTATTACATATTGTAAAAAGGGGCATAATATGTCTCCTTTAAGTATTGGGATAAAAAAACAAAACAAAAAAAACATTGAGAATGTGCACTTGGGCACTGACCCATGTCTTTCAGCATATTAGTATTAAAATAGCTAAGTGAAACACTGCTGATGTAATAGACAGTATATTAACACATGGTATGATCAACACTTTAATTGCAAGCTTTTACGTAAAACAGATCCTGAAATTAATCATGTGTCTAATATCCACGAATGAATTAGTCTAAAGCACTGAAAGTAATTATTTCTCCATCCACAAAACCTAGTCTAAGGTGTAACTGTGGTGAAAATAAGCACCATCATACTCATATTTTATGAATGTTATGAAAATAACAGGGATGAAGTCATTACACAAATAAATGTAATCATATGCCCGGAAAATATTATTCTTGTTAAATCAATTATTAAGAAATAGCAGAACAATATACTTTCAGAATGATGGACTGGAAGGAAATCACAAAGGCACGGATCAAACCAGAACCTCCACAAATTCAGAGATGCGAAACAAACATGCAAATACATCTCATACTAAAAGTAAAAATTTAACAAATTGAAGTTTAAATTAAAAATAGATGGGAAAAGCACATAAAATATCAGTGGGGCCAAGGGAGCCCAATGAAATATAATAAGGTCCAGAAAACCTTATGTCACTGACAAGTTTTTAACTGAAAATTGGGAAAACAGAAATGAACATTAACAACCCCCTCCCCTTCTTCTCCCTGTGTTTCTTATTTTGTTTCTCTGTTGTATATTTGGATTATGCCATAAAAATATACTTTTCAATATTGTTAACTGGCTCTCTGATGATTTAACACAACATATTAGCAAGCATCACTAAAATATCTTGAACGCAAGCTTTTTACACAAACCAGACGAAATTGATCACATTGATTCTCAAATAAATCAAGCCTTGAGCATTAACAGTAATTAATTATTCCTTGATCTTTCACACAAAACCTTCACTCTCCTCTGATGCCTGGAGTGAAAAAGAAACAGCCTCCAGCAAATGGCGCTTTTCCACTGCGATGACTGGTACGACTCGACTCGGCACGGCACGGCACGGCTCGGCTTGCGTTTCCACTGCAGTTTAGTATTGCTTTAGAGTGGGCGGGATTATTCACATGTAGTTAGTTGTGCCGCCTCTATTGCCGCAACTCCTGAAAAACGTTTTCATTCCGCGTCGCCCCATCAAGCTCTCGCTGGATCCGCTCCTCTGCTATCAACGAGAGGAACGTCTGTACTTCCTCAACAGACAATGAAACAGCCAATTTTTGGTTGTTAAAAAAGGTGCGCTCGTTCAAAACAGTTGTGTTCGATCCCCGCTGGCTGTGCTGATTTAAATCTAGCGGCTCTGTTGTGTTTGTGTCGCAAGTTCAGTGACACAGGTAGTGACGATTCACCACTCCGGCCAATCAGTGATCAGCAGAGTTTACACCTCACGTTTTGGTAACGGTAAAGTTCACATGGAACTAGTGCTGGGTGGTATACCGGTTCATACTGAATACCACTGTTTATTTTTGTTATGATATACATTTTTTAAATACCGCAATACCGGTGTGTGTCGCTTAAACAACGTTCGGAACGCGACACTGTTTGAAAGGGGTCTTCCCATCAGCTCCCGCGTCTCACACACACACACACACACGAGCGCGACTTTCATTTATTCTTGTGATGGCAAAAAGCTAAATTTTCAGCAGCCCTTACTCTAGTCCTCAGTGTCACATGATCCTTCAGAAACCATTCTAATATGCTGATTTGCTGCTCCCGAAACATTTCTCATTATTATCAATGCTGCAAACAGTGGTGCTGCTTAATATTTTTGTGGAAACAATATATTTTTTTCAGGATTCTTTTTTAAAATTATAAATCTAAATTTTTTTTTTAAAATTTCAATAAAAGCATTGATTTCTTTCAAACAAACAAATAACGCTATCTGACAACAAACCTTTTAACATGTCTTAAAGGGGTCATATGATGTGATTTAAATTTTTCTTTCTCTTTGGAGTGTTACAAGCTCTTGGTGCATAAAGAAGATCTGTAAAGTTGCAAAGACTAAAGTCTCAAATCCAAAGAGATATTCTTTATAAAAGTTAAGAGTCAGCCACACCTACCTAAAACGGCTCGTTCTAACACGCCCCCACATGTCTACGTCACTATGTGGGAAGATTTGCATAACGCCGCCCAAATGTTCACGCAAAGAAAGAAGGCGCAACTTTTATTCTCGTTGTAGTATTGTTGCCGCCGCCGCCACCATGTCGTGAAGGCGCTGTGTTTCATTGTGAAAGCGAAACTACTTTGTTTGGCCTTCTAAAAGAGGACGACATCCGCTTCCTCATGCCTGGAGCTGATCCGTGCTGGTTGCTGAGGAAAAACAAACTTCGCACTGTCAATCGCCGGATCGGTTTTTTATATTTAAATAATTTGCCACTGATGATTCAAACGCGAGTTTGAGCAGTGTAGAGTAGCGCTTATTGTTTGTCATTTCGCCGATCACAAATGCAGACATGGTTTTATGTTTATGCGGCGCAATACGCAACGCAAAGCGTAAAAACACAGTATAAGTCATTACAATCAGTAATTACAGTGGGGAAAAAAAGTATTTAGTCAGCCACCAATTGTGCAAGTTCTCCCACTTAAAAAGATGAGAGAGGCCGAGTTCAGTTCAGTCTTCGTACAAACATTTGATTCATTGAAATGAGTCATTCAGAGTGCACACTCACTCCACCCACTGAAGACTGGGGGCACAAACTCCAGAGGGGGGAACTGAAAATGGCTTCTTAGTGTCCACTGTCTCTTTAAGGAACACCTCATGAGGAGGAAAAAAAAAAGGAAAGGACAAAAAAATGTATATCGGGAGAAATCTGTGACCACAAGCGCAAAATGAATCAATGGAGAGGCATTGTTTAGTGTGCACCACAGAGATCCTGTGGAAAACAAACCTCCTTTCTGCTTCCTCTGCTGGTTGGCCCAGAACCGATACAGTGTGGGCCCAGAGCCAGATCAACCAGCTCCACCGCTTCAGCAAAGCTGCCGGTCTCAGACGCCCAACTGCGACGCACAATGAATCAAACAAAAAGTACGGCGACACCTCATTTCCCCCTCACTGAGAGTCTCATTCAACGCCATAACTGACGGAAAAAGACAACTAGAACAGAAAAACGTTGGCCTGAGTCCAGAGTTCTGTCACGTTTTATCTTAAAGTGTAAAAGTACCTTTAAAAAACACCAAAGTTTGTTAAAGTACATTATCTGCAATCAATTTATCTAGAATTACCCATATAGCAAGCTCCCAAAAAACAGCAAAACCTTACACCAAATCAGTTGTTATATAAAGAAAAAAAACAGCACTAAAAACAACCGTTCTTATTATAGCTGGTGTCAAATCATAAATCCCAGTAGGGTCAGAGTCAAGCGGTTGAAAGTGGCACACAGTTACGATACGATGCTTTTGGGAGATCCAAACATGAATAGCACAGTTGCATCACACAGTTGAGTTGGCTGGCAGGTTTGGGATGAGACCACTGTGATAGCGGAAGCGAGACAAATTTTTGTCCCATGTGAGAGGCTGGTTTGTACTTGTTCACATTATGTGAGCTTCACTGCACACCTCCACACAGTCAACTGTGTACATAATTTAGATGAGCTGCCAGACAGATATTAAATGCCTGCTGTCTGCCATGTCCTTAAGTGAAGCTGTTTCTTATCAGATTGATCTGAGAAAACAACTGCCCTGGGCCACAGACATCCTCTGAGTTATAGTGCTCCATATCTCTGTGTACATGTGACCATCTTAGTTGCTCCACATCTTCATTCACTATCTTATTTAATCCTACTGACTAAACAGAAAGATATAACACACAAAGATGCTTTTATCTTGGATATGCAGTGCAGATGAGCTGCAAACTCAAGCCTAAATGCTTGCAAATCAATTTGTGAGAGAGCAAGTAATAAACAGAACATCACAGGTTCAATAAAAATTAAATTTTTGTGACATTGTCTTAAGAGAAGATTATTATATATTGATTAAGAGAAAATAATTGACTCCTCCCGAAGCTATAAAAAAAAAAACCCCGGCAGATTTACAGAGAAAATGTAAATGGGCTAGGCAATCCGTGATGACATATCAAATACCGTTTAAGCCTCTACTCCATTTCATGTGAGATTACTACATTATCTCTACGGCCCTTTAAGAGCACTATTCATTCAAAGCACACCATTAGTATGTAGTGTGAGTTTTTAAATGCTTAGCTTGCAGTCTCTGAGCTCACTGTGTCCCACACAACAATATTGTAATGATTCAAAAAAGATAAATCCCTCTCTGGCCAATTGAAAATTAGTTTTAAAGGGGCCATGAACGGAGAAATCCAAATTCCCTTGATCTTTTGACATATAAAAGGTCATTGCACTATAAAACATCCTGTGAGTTTCAGAACTCAAAACTTCCTCATTAGTCTATAATCAGCTTATATTGAAGCCAATATGCCAAAACAGGTTAAGGAATGTGCCACTTCATGACAAAATAGTGTGGCTAAACACCACCTCTGCAGAAGAAGATGCTTCCAATTCATTCGAAATGCCTGCTTCTACATCGCTGCCTGTTTAGCCCCGCCCACCGATTCGCACATGTAGTGTAAATAACGAGAGAGGCAAACACAGGTCAAAACGATGAAGATGGATCCAAACTGCAGTGCCAAGTTGTGGAAAAACACAGTCTTTGCATTGCCTTCCTTCATTCCAACATTAGGAGAGAGTGGATGAACTTTATTTTTAATGAATTTTCAGACCGCATTAGTAAGAACTTGGTCCTTTGTTTACTTCATTTTACCGTGGATTCGTATACAAACAAGGCACAATTTGATGCAGGATTTTCAACTAAAAGACAATGCTGTGTTAACTATATTGGATCCGACAGTAATGTCGCAACACACAAGTGTGAGTTTTTATTACGTGGTCACTATTGGTTTGTATGTTATTACAGTTCATTTGATGTGTACTGAGTATTTATGCGTTTTTAACCTAAAACACAGCAGCATCCATCTGTGTAGGATGTACGCTGTCAAACATACACAACCAGGGACGCGGGAAGTAGGGGTGCTGAGGGGGCTGCAGCACCCCCTGTTTTCACAAGGTTGCAAATGCAACGCCAAGTTTGTTCATTTAAATTTATTCAGTTTTAGCATTTAATAATTTATTTGTAATGATCTCTGAAATGTAAATTGTACGTGGGCTATAATAAACCTATGTTTATCTTTATAAACATGATTAATTTTACTTGTGATGTTTTCTATATGGGATGACTAGCCTAATCCTCATGAACACGTGATGCTGGCGCGTGGTATCAGACATGAACTATACAGAATGCGAACAAGATTAACTTTAATACAAGGAGATAATGGCGCAAAAGTGAATTTCAGATTTTTTAAAATGCCCATCCCAGCAAAAACTTTCCAAAATCGGCATCCAACACCAGCCCCAGCACCGACGTAAGTGAACCAGCTCCAGCACGAGCATGGCCTAGTAAGCCTAGCGGACCCAGCCCAACCCCCGAGATTGATCAGCTACTATCGATAATTTCAAAAATGTGATACGCAGTCAAATTTTCCAGTGTGTATATGCCACTTAAACGAGTGTTCATATCGACGCACTTGTAGTGCTTTGTGGAGTTGTCAAATGAGGTGACCCACCCCTTCCCCGTGCCCCCCTTTCATTTCACCCAACACGGACACACACAGCACCCCCAACCGAAAACATCTTCCCGTGCCCCTGTACACAACTGTTAGCAGATCTATTACTTCTAAATGATGTTTTTTGATGTAAAAATCTTGATAACATTATAATTGGACCTCAGAGAACAGTACAAAATAAAAAACAAAGGCAGTTCATGACCCCTTTAATGCATCCTTGCTGAATAAGAGTATTCATTTATTCTAAAAAGAAAAAGAAAAAGAAAGAAAAAAAAAGTAAAAAGAGAGAAAATTATCTTACTGACCCCAAACTTTGGAATGGTTGTGTATGTGTTGGCATGAGATTACTGTAATAGTCTGTGTAATGTTACATGAACTCTTCACGTCATGACCATGTAAATCCTGTAAAGCTTTCAATGTGAAAGGGAATACTAGAAAGGGATGTGATGTAACAATCTGCAAAGCAAGGTTTATATGTAACAAACATCAGTAATACACAACCAGATCATAAACCTCAAAACGCATACCCATACTCAGTTTTTTATTACTTAATCTGAAGGAAATTATATTAATGAATGCAAAATATATAGAAAAGGACCTGAAGTGCTGATGCAATGTCATGAAATAAAGATCAATACATAATTGTATCGACACAGCCATAACTTTTTCCGCCAGACTTTCACTGTTGTAATGATGAAATGCTGATCATCCCACCTTATGACATAATCCTATAGTCTAACAAACATCTTCACTGCAGCATGTGTCTGTGAACTCTGGCTTCGTATGATTTTAGGGGAGTATGAGCCAGACTATTGCATCTAAAAAAGTTTGTGGGGCTGTACATTAATTTGTTTTCGAGAGCTCTAGAAATCAGAAAAATAAGGGTAGAGGGTACATCCTTTTTTTGATTGTCAGTCATTTTCAGCATACCATCTGAAATGCCTGTGTTTGTAACCAAGACGAATAGACAAACAACATGACAGTGAGCCCCAGCTGTGTCGTGCAAACACGCTGAACTACGGGTGGGACTGTTTGATTTGGGTCTGGTATAAATCATTGATTTGTCATCCATGACTGACATTGTACAATCCATTTGACCCCCTGCATTTCTGTTTCAACCACACTGTTATGCCATGCAATAACAATGGCTTTTAAAACTACAGTATGTTTGAGGAGGAGGAGTCTGAGCTCACCGTTTCGCTGAGGAGGTCCTCTGCCCATCTGCTGGTTCTTGCCAAAAGGATCCTGTGGGTTTGGGCTCATGGCGCTGGTGTGCAGAGCTGAGTCAGAGTTTGTTCTGTGGCAGAAGGAGAGAGGAAGAAAGGAGGAAAACAGCTCGGTCAGTGAGCCACCAAAAAAAACTGCTGAGCCGAGCCATGCCAACATGACCCTTTGCCCTCGCTCACTGCCTTCATCAAGCAACTACACATGAAGAGAGCACTCTCAAAGAGCACCTTACTGTACTCCTGTGCTTCTCTCTGCTTTATCAGATCTGACCTTTAAACCATTATCAAGTGACGTAAAAACAAAACAAAAAAAAAAACCCTTCTTTTTTCTATTTGTAGAGGAAAAGTTCAAGGGTGAAGTCACTCTACATCACAATAGTGAGTGAGGTAAAGGGGGTAAAAACAGATTAGTAGAAATAATGATCCCTGGTTTGGATTAGTTTGGTACAGTGACATCAGTTTACGTAGAAAAGCTGGCTGAGTAGAGAAACAGCACCTGTGATTGGCTTGAAATCATTCTGTTTTATATGAAGACTTGATCAAGAAACAATTTTAATCAAATCTAAGGATAACAAGCTGAGAAAAGGCGATCTGCAGGGGATGACAGAAAGAAGAAAAAAAGACACAGGTCCAAAGGAGATCTGTGAGAGAGAAACTTGAAAGTCAAAGGTCACCTGTTAAGCTGTGATAATAATCTAAATCCAGGTCGTTTCTCTTCGGTCCATGGCGGTTGCTCCCTTTAGAAATGGAAAGAGTCACGTGTTAATCACTACTGTACTGAGCCTGTAGCCCTGGCTCAGGGGTTAGTACAGTAGGACGAGCAAGCGAGAGAGACAAAGAGAGAAGAGAGCGAGCAGGGTGGAAATTCCTCTGTGACACCTTCAAGAAAACAAAAGCAGAGGCGTAGAAATCAGAGCCTGGTTAGTCTAATACTGTGCAGCACTGATTCACTGCTTCAATTAGATTGGAGCTGCCACGTCTGAGAGCAAACAAAAGTGCTATAATATCTTCAATGGTTAATGAAGCAAAAGAAACACGCAGGCAACACCTCAGCAGAGCAACAACACTGGCAATTCAGGATATAGACCAACCAAATAAACAAATACATCTTACTGGCCACAAATGCAATCGACAAGAATAAAAACCTTAATCTTTGTGACAGCCACGCAATTCAGAGACTATTTCTTAATGAAATGCGACCAGAACTTGACTGTGGAACTTGCTTTCATGACGCCTGGGCATTGCTATGTGGTTGCTAGGGTAAAGCATGGTGCTTTCAACAGAAAGGTCATGGGTCAGGGAACACACATAATGTACTGTTAACTTCTAACTAATTAAATAAAACTACTGTTCAAAATGTTGGTGTTACTAAGTGTTTTTTTTTAATACTTCTATTTAGTTTTTAATTTGATTAAAGTTAACCGTAAAGACATTTGGAAGGTTACTAATTAGGGCTGTCAAATCGATTAAATCGCATCCAAAATAAAAGTCTATGTTTAGATAATATATGTGTGTGTACTGTGTTTATTTATATGTATATATAAATGCACACATATATTTAAGAAACATTTATGTGTATGTATTTTTATATTTATATATGACTTGTAATATATATAAATTCATATATTTCTCAAAGATATATAATGTATGTGCGTGTATTTATATATACATATAAATATACACAGTACACACACACACTATTATGTAAACAGACATTTATTTTGGATGCGAATCATGCGATTAATCGATTTGACAGTCCTTTTACTCCGCTTTCTATTCATCAAACAAGAAATTTTTAAGCAAAACAACTCTACATTGATAATAAGAAAAGTTTCTTGGGCACTAAATCAGCATATTAAAATGATTTCTGAAGGATCATGTGACACTGAAAATTCAGCTTAGGCATCATTGTAAAATAATATTTTTACTGCATTTTTGATCAAATAAATGTCACTTTGGTAAGCATAACAGACTTCTTTTAAAAAAATATTGAAAAATCGTCCTGACCCCAAACTTTTAAACTGCAGTGTATATGAAGCTAACAAAATATTTCTATCTGTAACCACTGATATAATTACTCCGCTATTTCATTACTCATGGAGAGTAATAACATATGGCAAGTGTGGCAAGAGCACAAAACTAGACATGGGTGTATTATGATCCATGTTCACTGTGTAGATGCACAAGCAGTCCAGCAGATGTAGCCTGTGCACGCTGCTGTATGCCAGAACAGGGAAGCTGATTCCCACTAAGAGGGTTAATATATTCCTTTCACTAAGACAATAAAGAGAAATAATAAACAGATTTCCTGTAGCCGCTCTACTGACGGAGAGGCTACAGTATGCCAGACCACACTAGGGTGATGTAATACTCCACCAATACACTGCAGCCAGTGCGGGAAAAGAAAAGATACTCCTTGTAACAACAGAAAATGGCCTTCCTTCACATTTTCCTGTAAAGCTGGTCTGCACCCCGGTTTTAAAGTGCATAAAGTCAGTGCCTGTCGAACACCCATGATGGAGAGATATTTAATATTTCAAATGCATATACAATTTCCATCCATTTAGAATTTTTTAACAAACGAATAAACATATGATGCATTGTCAGTTATGCATAAATGTTTATTAGTTGATTATTAACTAATTGCACAATTGGATTTTATGTCTTTAAATCAGATTTTCAAAATGCATTTATTCGGATTGCTTAGAATCAGCATAAATATCTTTTATCTAAAAAAAATACATTTATTCAGTTAAAAAGTATGAACATGGATAAAATATGGCTAACTGTGTATCACGCAATATTCATTTAGTTCAAATGTATGACACTCAAACTAATACATTTTTTGAAGATAAATATATTCACCTGGTAAATGTATTTTTGTATTTTAAACATTCAGGACTGCTACAGAAATTAATGTTTGACTCACAAATACGCATCACTTTATATCTATTAGTTATGTTAAAGGGATAGTTCACCCAAAAATTAAAATTGTCAGCATTTACGGACAATAAAAAAAATAAAAATAAAAGTTATTTGCAACTTTTTCACAATTCTGAAATTTTTTCTTGCAACTGCGATTTTAAATCGTACAATTCTGACTTTTTTCTCAGAATTGCGTGATAGAAACTCGCAATAGTGAGTAATAAAGTCAGTAGGGTTGGGCGATGTCTACAAAATTGGCATCGGATGGACGATAACATTGGCCGGGGGGGGTTTAGGTGGTGTGTCCGAAGCATGAATCCGTATTCAGAAAGGCACGGAAAACAAATAACGTTTGCTAACGGTTGCCTGTTACATTACAGTACATACTGTAAAAGTTCACTTACCACATAAACAGAGTAAGGAAAGATGACTGAGGACAATAGCGAATGATTTGCAGATCCTTAGCACCACTGACAAACATCTAATCTTGTAAAATGTGTGGTAAGTACTGCCGCTCCATAATATAAGCAAAGTACGTGCGATCGCGAATCTCAAAAGTGAAAGTAAAACTAAAAAGCGATCGTGCATTCAAAAGCAGTTTCAATGCCAGGCATAAGCGGCTACCTGATGCATATACCTGAATTTATATACAGTGTATTTGCCCAATGATATAACTGCGAGAGAAAGTATTAAAATATATATTTTCATCCCATCTTGTATTTATTCCCTTTATGAGTTCTGTAGTACACGTAATTTTCTTTCCAAACACGGTAGGCTATTGGGATCACGATGTCGGCTCAAAATTGTGAGGTATAACAGCCATCGGCGATGGACGATGGCATCGTCTATCGGCCCAACCCTAAAAGTCAGAATTGCGAGATATAAACTGGCAATTCTGACTACATTTCTCAGATTGCGTGATTTTTTCTCAGAACTGCGAGTTAAGTCATTGCGAGGAAAAAGTCAGAATTGTGGGATATAAACTCGCAATTGCAAGAAATAAATTCAGAATAAACTTCTCAGAATTGCGTGTTTATATCTCACAATTCTGAAGAAAAAAATCAGAATTGCTAGTTTGTATCATGCAATTCCGAACGATTTATATCACGAATGGCAAGATGTTAACTCACAATCGCGAGAAAAACATTGCAATTACCTAGCAGTATACCATTATATAGACTACTAACAAAAACAGGTCTTGGTAAAAGTTGCTAGAAAAGGATTCATAAACATATTGTTATATAAAGCTGACCTGTGGTCAAAGACAACGTGAAAAACAGATGTTTTTAAACTGGCATCAGGCAGACCACCAAAAACGGAGAGATTCTTCAATGAAAGCTTATCGCTATTGAATCACACTTGAGTCAGGACGAATGCCTTTTTAGAAAACCTCCCAGAGGAAGTCTTGTCTGGGAAGAGCAGAGGCTCAGATCCAGGATGGGAGAGCGTGGGACTAAGAGGACAGCGCTGACCCGTGTTCCTGACCCAGTCCAGCTGAGCTCCACAGGGAAACGTATGGATGTTGCCTAGGATTCAGAACCAGCCCTGTTTACCCAGACACCAGAGGGACAGCTGTACCCCAGGGAGCGCTGAGCCTGAAAGTATCATAGTAGCACTGTCGTCCTTACGGACGCAACTGAACACTGGGGCACACTAAAACACTGACATTCAGATTGCACACCACATTAAATGGTAGTACTATAAGGGTCACAAATCCACGTGAGAATATGTTGTGAGAATAGTCAAAGAAAAATGTTGAAAGGAATGGACGTTAAAAGTCTCCAAAACACTTTATATTAATGTTACAGTATCAGCCGATCTTTCTCTCGATCATTTCAATGCCAACAACATCTTTTATTTGGCAACATACTACCTCAGTCCACTCACATTTCCTTTTCTGGTGGTAGATGTGAGGCCCTGTGAACTGAACTCAAAACACATCCGCCACCCATACACCAGGTTATTGTGTGAATAAGCAATAGAAATCTGTAAGTTGTGTGGTGAACGGACGGAAGGGACGCCCTTTTCAGCTCCTTAACCCTTGCCCAGTGTGTGCTGCGGTAGGTAATGCATCACAGATGTGTTGAGAGAGCTGTAAACAGTTCCTCCAGAGCATACATTAGGATGAGACTCCAGTAAAGCAGGA